CCGAAAGGGTTGTCAGGCTCTGGAACGGGCTGCCCAGGGAGGGGGTCGAGTCCTCCTCCCTGGAGGTATTTAAAAGAAGGATAGATGAGGTGCTTAGGGACATGGTGTAGTGGGATGGCAGGGTTAGGTTAAAGGTTGGACTCGATGATCTCAAAGGTCTTTTCCAACCAAAGTGATTCTATGATTCCTAATGCTCTGCCTCAGTACCACTCACAGTATTTTACCAATCCTGAGACACAGTGTTTAAGGAGTTTGTTCAAAGTTGCTAAACCAACCAGCAGCACAGCCAGGAACAAAATCCTAACCTCCTCGGTGCTCCACCCGCTAGATCCTGTGTAACACACTCTGGGTGAACCTGCTTTAGCAGGAGGGTTGGACTGGGTGATCTCCCAAGGTCCCTTCCAACCCTTGCCATTCTGTGATTCTGTGATCATTCTGCTTCCACAATGAAAAGACAAGAGGCAACACACAGAAGTTGCAACACAGGAAAATTTGACTAGGTATTAGGGAAAAGTATTTTGCTATGAGTGCTTAACATTGTGGAACAGGGGCCCAGAGGTGGGAAGACCTCCAGTTTTGGAGACAGTCAAAACAGAAGGAGGTAAAACCCTGAGCAACCTAACCTGAGCTGGTCCTTCCTGACCAGATGATCTCCAGAGGTCACTTCCAACCTAAATTGCTCTATGATTCTGTGCTGTCCTGTGACTGTCCCAATATTCAGGAGTCACACCCTAGCTTTCTTTTGCATTCATTTTTATGCTGCTAATATAAAATCTAAATATATCCAAAATACAAGTTCTGGAAAGTATGTAAATGTTTGGTTGGCAAACCTAAGCAAAGGCAGGTGCATCCACTAATAGTACACTGACCATCCATGCTCCTCTCCCAAGTGTGACTTCTCCAGGACAGGGAAAATGCAACTTGCTGACCCAAATACAAGGTCCTCCATCAATATACAGATTCTAATACGAGACCCCTGTCTAGAAGCTGTAAATAAAATCGAAAGACGGGAAAGCTGTGCTCCTTAATCCTCCGAGGACCTGCTGTATGATCTGCAGCAAGCCTCAGTTTGTGAGCCTAAGATTTCCCATCTGTAAAACGGAACCAGTAAAACCCACTTTTGTGGAGTGCAGTAAAATTCTCAGATCACTACTGAGTGCTTATGTAAGTCCTCTGAAATAACGGAATGTAAAGAATTAAAACCTTTCAGACATGTTTATAATGAGAACCTTTCAGACACGTTTATTTTCTTAGCAATGCCATTTACAAATATGTGTAAGTGAAACGTTCAGAGGCACAACTTGTACTTCAGATCTCAACTGGTGGGAAATTAAGTTTCAGACATCGGCATTTTGGTTTGAAAATTGCATTGACTGTCATGTTCATCCAAGTATGGCAGCTCTGAACAACCCACGTTCTAGAATGCTCAAGAAGAAACCTACTACTAGTTGAGCGCACTGTATTTGTTAATAATAGCCATAAAATGAGATTTGCTGAATTTAGCAGGAGATGTTGAAATCTAATTGCAATTGCCTTTGGAAAGGACATCACTATCAGCTCCTCACCTGGCTTTTGTATAACTGCATTACAGGCGTTGGCAATTTCTTCTCTCTTTGCCTCGTCTGGATATTGATTCTCATTGAAGTAACTGCAAGAGGGGGGAAAAAAAAAAGTTTGTTTCAGAAATCAGAGCATGAAGGCTCCCAAAGCAGCTTCACTAAAAGGTGTCAGCTGCTAGTTTATGCATCACTCTTACAGAGGTAACACAGACACAAGTTTTGTATAAACCTGTATATGCATAAGGTAATATCAGCATGGACTCATACCCACACGGAGTGGATAAAACTTCCCAAAGGCCTCAGACAAATTAATATTATCTCAGCATTTGCAGTACTACCTTGGCATTTGGAATATTGTACTAGGTGATCCAACAAAGTAGGCAATGCCACAAATATCAGCGTTAAGACTGTCAAGTGAAGCCTCATGTTCAGAAGACATCATAGGCCGTGCCTCTGCCTTTTTTATTATCATTTACTTATTTTTTTTTTCCCTGACATAACCCCAGCTTAGGCAGCATCCTACAAATGAAGGAACTGTTTAATATTTATTTTGCTCCCTGGTTTAATATATACACACATCCCTACATATCTGTATACAGATTCTACACAAACACCCACAAATACTGCGTACTTTAGACAGATATGGTATGAAGATTCTACAGACAAAAATTACACAGTAATACAGTAAGATTTCTAGTCAGACTAGGTTTTTTTTTTTTAAATGACAATTTAAAAATTTTAAATCTTCCCCAGAACAATATATTGAGTATAACATATTTTAACAGTATTTTTTCTGAAGAACTGTGATTTTATTGTACTTTATATGCAGTAGACATCGTATAAAAGTTAAACTGTTTTCTCTTTTACTTCATTTAAGCGCTTTACAAATTTTAATGAACTGATTTACATTCTACAGAGCTTAGCAGATTTGCATTAAAAACAACAAAAAGTCCTGTTTACTTCAATGGATTCTGATAAGCGTGCCATAAGCAGGGACTACTACAGTTTTTCTGTAGATTGTCCATAATATATAATCCTAAGAACTCTTTGATCAACTTTGATCAGCAGCAGGTTCAGCTGTTGGACAGCTGCTCTGTATCTGAAAATAAGGTATTTCCTTTAATTGTAGATCATTTGGTAGTAGGAGAATTAGGCATATTAGGCAATTATTATTTTCCACAGTCATGCTGGAGCGTGTCCAGAGGAGAGCAACAAAGTTGGGGAGGGGTCTGGAGCCCCAGGCTGCTGGGGAGCGGCTGGGGGAGCTGGGGGGGTTCAGCCTGGAGCAGAGGAGGCTGAGGGGAGCCCTCATCGCTGCCTACAACTGCCTGAGAGGAAGGGTTGCTGGGGGGGTCGGGCTCTGCTCCCA